TCCCCCAGCCCCTGAACTATTTTTTTTGCCTTCTGCTGGACTCTCTCCAACTTGTCCAGGTCCTTTCTGCAGTGGGGGGCCCACAGCTGGACACAGGACTCCAGGTGTTGCCTCCCCAGTGCTGAATAGAGGGGAAGCATCACTGCCCTTCATCTGCTGGCAACACTTATAGCAATGCAGCCTCTTCTAGATAACTAGCAACCAAAGAGCTTTTACCTCCAGTCAGAACAGAAGAGAGCAAGACAATTGGTGATGAACACTTTCATTTGGAAGGTACTTAAAGAATTATTCTTCTTAGTTAATTCTAAGACATGTTGGGGAAATTCTGTCCGAGTTAAAAAGCAGGTAAATGGTGGCAGGTAGCCCATTATTGTCTATTGTAGCTAATAAGGAGGGGGATAGTCCATATATTTGTATCCCTCCTGAATCTACCACTGCTATTCAGTAATAGTGTAGAGACCAAACTCTATGCTAAACTCATTACTAACTAAAGAAGTTTGCTCAGACACAAGGAAGTAGAAACTATTTCTCTTCAGGTTCGGGGGGAGGGAATCAGATTGAGGCCCCCATGGTGAGGGAAGGAGTGGGGCAAGGGCTGAGCCTGAGGGTGCTGCCCAGCCAGGGTGGGGCATGGGGCTCAGGGCTGGGGTGGGGAGCAGGACAGAGCCATGAATGGCTCATCTCGGGTGGGGGAGGAAGCAGCTCTTGCTGCTGTGCACAATCTCAGGGAGGGGGGCATGGAGGGCATGTGTCCCCTAGATTTGTGTGTGGGGTGAGGACAGATGCAGCTGCCTGCTGCAGTCTTGGGGCTCCCCACTCTGCTGCCCTCCCCTTGGGAGCCTTGCGCCAGCTGTCCTGCCATGGTGAGGTGCCCCCTGCTCTTGCAGGAGCAGTGGGGGTGGCAGCATGGGTGGTCAGAGGGCACCTCACTATGGCTGCACAGCTGGTGCAGGGCTTCCAGGGGGAGGGCAGCAGGGCGGGGAACCCTGTGGTCAAAGTGGGCAGCCCACTGGCACCCCTATGCTCCCATGGGCTCTGCCCCCTGTGCCCGCATGGGCTCTGTTTGGCTCTGCTTCAGCTATGCTGCTAGGAGTGGGCATCATCTTGGGCTGCCCTCTTCCCCCAGCAAATATAAAAGTCAGCACCTATGATTGAAATTATAGTTGAATCTCTTGTTCTGAAAAAGAGAGGGATAGATACTGCCTACAGTTGCTTGGAAAGCTCCAGTGGAAAAGGTCCTTAAGACTGGAATGCCAAGCTCATACATTTGCTATTAGAAGCTGTAGGTCCTTTAACAGTGTATCTGGGATTGCTCAGTGCTTATTCAGAGGGAAGACTTCATTGCACATTGGCATTAGGGGTGTGTGCAATGGGCCGTATTCGATTCAGATTTGGCCCGAGTCAGGGACAGTGATTTGATTTGTTGATTCAGATCACTGTCCTGATTTGATTCGGCCAAATCCGAATCTGAAGATTCAGTGTTGATTCAGAGAATCAGCAATTTGGACATAGACATGGCTTTAAATATTTTTTCTACATACCTTGAGGTACCAGGTGTGATGGTGAACGCTGCGATGGTGGGGCGGATGGAGCATACCACAGGAGCGGGGGGGGGCCCATGTGTTTGGTGGCAAAACCGGAAGTGGACCAGAAGTACTTTTGGTCCACTTCTGGGTCCACTGCTGAGAGTGCAGGGGAGCCCCCCCCTGCTCAGTGATTGGCTGCAGGGGGATCCCGGGTGCCCCCCCAGACCCAGGAGGTGCCAGTTGCCCTGTGCACTCCCACCCCTTGTGCGTTCCCCGGCAGACCCAGAAGTGGATCAGAAGTGCTTCTGGTCCACTTCTGGGTCTGCTGCCAAGTACACTGGGGAGCCCCCCGTGCTCCTGTGGGACACTCCATCCACCCCAGCATCTCAGCATTCACAAGCCACCTGGTACCTTGAGGTATGCAGAGAAAACATTTTAAAGCTGTGTCTGTGTCTGAATCGTCGAATCTCTCTGACTCAATTCAGAGGGTTCAGATTCAATTCAGAGAGATTAAAGGGTCTCCTGATTTGATTTGGATTTGGAGATTCGGCCACTGAATCGGGCTGAATCTGCTGAATCAAGTCAGCAACTGAAGCTTTGCACAGCCCTAATTGGCATGTTCATGTTATTTATGGTTCTCCCTTGTGACCAGACCCAACTCTGCATAACTGTTGTATAGCGTGAATTCAACAGCAAAAGGTGGCAAGGATGTGAGTTTTCACATCAGTAACCCAAGAGCTGTTTGTCAAGATGATTACCTATGTTATCACATTATGTCTTGGTGCAAAGGTGGATACCAGAATTATCATACCTGTAAATATAGGTTCTGCAGTTATGATCCTTATTATGCTGATCTGTTAGTCTGGTAAGATTTCCTTACATATTTCTTCCTGAGATTAGGTTCTTAGTCTTCTCTTGCTTTTTTCTAAGAAGTGTTAATGGATGTTTCTTGGAACATCTTTATTCATAAGGGAGAGGGAACAATGTTTTAAACTCTATCCAGAACCTGTTGCTTGATTTATAGCAGAGGAGGCATCTAAACTATTGGTCTGCATTGGTAGGCTAAAGTTGGAAATCAAACAGTTTGTAACATTAAGCCTTTACCAGAGTAAAGTAGGGGCTGTCTCATTCTTTTGAGTGTAGGCAAGACACTGCTACAGGAAACTGATAAAATTGCCAGAAATAATTTTGTTTTAATGCATCAGCTTAAACTTTCACTTTTAGCTTTTATTTCTAAAAAAGTAAGCTGTGTTTTATGAAATTAAAATCTGAGGTTCAGTGAACTGTAGCTATATTAGCTACATTGCAACTCATGTTGTAGACTATAGTAGCTCTGATTTTTTTATTTTTTAAAGTATATAGATCATGCCAGTCATACATGTAGGTGAGTTTAACTTTTGGAAAAACTGTAAAGGCAACCTGTAGAGTGGATGTTCTTGTACTAGAGTACTGGACCGGGGCTTGGAAAATTATTCATGGTAAAAAAAAAAAAATGGGGAATGTAGTAGTGGATGGCAACTTGGGCAGCAACAACCATGAGATGATTGAGTCCAGGATCCTAAGGAAAAAAGGAAGAACAGCAGAATAAGGACTCTGAACTTCAGAAAAGCAGACTTCGACTTTCTCAGGATACTCATGGGCAGGATCCCCTGGGAGGCCAGTCTAAGGGGGGAGGAGTCCAAGAGAGCTGTACTGTAAATAAACCTTACTGAGGGCGCAGGAACCAAACCACCCTGATGCGTAGGAAGATTAGGAAGTATGGCAGAAAACCAGCTTGTCTTAGCAGGGAATTTTCAGTGAGCCAAAACACAAGAAGCAAGATTACAAGAAGTGGAAACTTGGACAGACTAGGGAGGAGTATAAGAGCATTGTTTGGGCATGCAGGGATGACAGCAGAAAGACCAAAGCACAACTGGAGTTGAAGCTAGCATGAGACATAAAGAGTAACAAGAAGGGTTTCTACAGGTATGTCAGCAACAAGAGGAAGACTGGGGGAAACTAAACAGGGGAGGCAACTTAGTACAAGATGATGCAGAAAAAGGCTGAAGTACTCAATGTCTTTTTCACCTCAGTTCTCACAGGCAAGGTTAGCTCCCAAACTACTGTACCTGGCAGTACAGTTTGGGGAGGAGGTGAGCAGCCAACAGTAGCAAAAGATCAGGTTAGGGACTGTTTAGAAAACTGGATGTATACAACTTCCTGGGGCTGGATGCAACGCATCCCAGGGTGCTGAGGGAGTTGGCCACTGTGTTTGCAGAGCTGCTGACCATCATCTTTGAAAATTCATGGTCATCAAGAGAGGTCCTAGATGATTGGAAAAGGGGGCCTATAGTGCCTATCTTTAAGAAGGGGAAGGAAGATCTGGGAAACTACAGACCAGTCAGCCTCATCTCAGTCCCTGGAAAAATCATGAAGTAGGTACTCAAGGAATCCATTTCTAAGCACTTGAAGAAGATGGTGATTAGCAGGGATCCTTATTTCCCTGATAAAAAAAAAAAAAAATACAAATTCTCTGATAAACCCCCCAAAATGCTTAATTAAAATTAAAGGCCCCCCACAGTCTCTCCTCCCCCCACAATCCCCTGTGTCCGGCTTGTGCCCCTCACTCCGCCTGTAACACTGTTGCCAGGACAGCGTGGAGCTCACAGAGGCAGGCAGCTTTCCTGCATGATCCCACTGTGCCCTGCAGTGCTCGGTTGCACATGCTGTGCTGTGGTGACCTTTAGGAGGGCAACAGGGCAGGGAGCATGGGCCTGTAGAACACCTCCGCCCCACGCACAGTCTGAGGGGCACGGGCAGAGTTGACCTGAGCAGGATGTGAGGTCCTAGACAAATTAGCCCATGCAAGGCCCAGCCCCCACTCTGATCTGGGCCCTAGCCCCAAAGAAGCTGCTGTCGCCAATGCTGGCAGTGGCATCAGTGACGGGGAGGGCGAGCAAGCAGCTGGATGTGGAGCCAGTTGCTC